AGACACTCAGTAACAGACAATACAGTTACCAGTTTTTAACAAAGCACCTTACACGATGACTACCACACACCAGGCACTCAAAAGACACTCAGTAACAGAGAATACAGTTACCAGTTTTTAACAAAGCACCTTACATGATGACTACCACACACCAGGCACTCAACAGACACTCAGTAATAGACACAGTTACCAGTTTTTAACAAAGCTCCTTACACGATGACTACCACACACCAGGCACTCAACAGACACTCAGTAACAGACAATACAGCTACCAGTTTTTAACAAAGCACCTTACACGATGACTACCACACACCAGGCACTCAATAGACACTCAGTGACAATACATTTATCAGTTTTTAACAAAGTATCTCACTTTAACAGGCTGTAAAAAGCATATGCTGAAAATATCTAACTATTGATATTTTAACATTTCAACCTCCCAGAAAGAGAATAACACACAACAGAGTAGTGGATGAACCAATGTGTTCATCAACCCTTTTAATTAGACTCAGAATGAAAAGGGACACACAAGGATTTCCCAGAAGCCCTTCACCAAAGTGGAATGACAGAGCAGAGGTCATGAATATGGCAAATCTTCAAAAGCAGAGAACAAGTTTTTCTAGCTAATCTAAACAATATGTTATAATTTATGAAAAAAATGCACCTCTGATTTGTACCTAAAACCCTCATAGCGCTATGTTCTCGCTTTTCTTACCTATACGGCAGCATCAATACATCAAACTCCTAACAGCCCCTTCTGGTGCTCACCGATTTACAGTGAATATTCAATTGTTTTATTTAAACCATCATTTGCTTTAAAAGAAGCACTCTTCTATGCTAAGTATATATATGAATACAAATTCACATTCAGCTTGGCTATCGTAAAAAATCATGAAGTACTTTTGGAGTTTATTGTCAAGATCAAAGAACTTTTGCATCCTAAACACGTAATACCGTGTTCCAATAAAGAACTGAGGATCGAGCTTCTGTGCTGAAGGCCTTACCACATCCCCAGGGTCTCCCACCACTGTGTACCCTACGGAACTAACTCTAACACACAAACTACACTCTTGGGTGAGACTGGCTCTTTTGGACCCTGGAGGCTATCGCAACAGAATTTAGTAAATAACTATATTAATGTTCTAACCAAAGACAGTTTGGGAATGAGAATAATTGGGGAGAGAAACTAAGACAGAGACGGTGAGATAGGAGGGTAGGTAGGTGAAGGCTGACCGCAGGCGCATGGGGCAAGTGCCACTTGGTGGGCCCAGGAAGAGCACACTGCATTTGCCACAAGGACAGTCCCTGCCCGTCCTGGACACTCACTTTTCTAATCCTCACTCTACCCCTGTGATATGAGGCTTTTTCCCACATACACAAATGAGGAGCTAAGTCACTTAATACTCTCAGAGGGCTTATTACACATATTTCCAGGAATTGACCATTAAGCTTAATTCATCTGAATCTAATGAGCTCAGCCCCACACTATTTCTAGAGCAGTGGTTCTCAACCTTCCTAATGCCGCAATGTATTTTCATTGTTACAAAGGGGTTGCAACCCACAGGTTGAGAACTGCCATTCTAGAGATTGGGCTGATTTTACCTACTTTATTATCTATAAAAGCACTTCCCAATCTTTAAAGTGCATCCTCTCACTTGGGGATCTTACCGATTCTGATTCTGTAGGTCTTAAGTGGGGCTGATCTGTATTTTTAACAAGGTGTCAACTTGAAGAGCCATGCTCTGAGGATCTGGGGTCTACAGTGGGACCCAGAAAGGATACAGATCTTAAAAAAGATACACAGAGTGTCCTACAGGAGTTTGAAGACCATCAATAACAAGTGAATATTAAAACAGCTCATATGGAGATGCCATTAATACATGGAATACAGCAATTACATAAGGAAAAGGAACAAATTTAAATGATACATTAAAAACTACCTGTCACATACATAAAACCAACCCACTTAGGCAGTTTCTCTTGGATCTAATGCCTTAACATTGTGTGATGGCCTGGCCAGCAAGGAAGCCACATCATGGTCAGGAGAGCCCTGCTCTGCCTCCTACAACCCTCAAGCATGTTCAACTTCAAATACTAGCCCCCTCCCTAACAAGCTCATAAAAGATTTTCCCAGATTACCCAGGAGCTATTTTTATTTTACTTTCCACTAATCAATGGGTTCCTTTTCATCAGAAATTAATATACCAAATGTTTGATGGACCAAACACCAATTCACAAACCATCTGGAAGTTGTCGTTAATAAACCCACCACCCATCTTGAAGCACACTTTCTCTCCAGAATCACCATGGTCTCAGAGTCTGCAGACTGTGCATTTGAGAGGTTTGATAAATAGCTTAATTTTCTCCTTCCTGTTTCCCATGTGTAATAAATCTGGGTATTGTTAACATGTGTATGATGTGTATATGAGGACACAGCTGTGCACACACCCATGCACATGTGAGCACACACATATATATACACAATCTATTTTCTATTCCAAGAATAAAAATTAACATTGCCTGACTCGGATAGGATGCAGAGAGTTAACAGTGCTCAGTTATCAGGACAATAAAGATATATTTAATGTGTCTCTTCAGGGATCATAAGGCCTCTCCTAAATCAGTCTTTGCTGCCCAGCCCCTGAGATGCAGATTCAATTTCTTGCTCTCTCACCTTGGCTGTGGTGCCAGTGGAGTGTCTGAGTGCTCACATGTGCACAGTGACCATCGTCTGTGTCAGCTTGGCACATAAAAACTAAAGCACCAGGCGCCTGTGGCTCAATGAGTAGGGCGCCAGCCCCATATACCGAGGGTGGAGGGTTCAAACCCAGCCTCAACCAAACTGTAACAACAAATAGCTGGGCATTGTGGCGGGTACCTGGACTCCCAGATACTTGAGAGGCTGAGGCAAGAGAATCACCTAAGCCGAGGAGCTAGAGGTTGCTGTGAGCTGCGATGCCACAGCACTCTACTGAGGGCACCATAGTGAGACTATCTCAAAAAATAACAGTAATAGGGGAAGGTGAGGGGGGTCGATGGGGGGAGGGAGGGTGATTGGTGGGGTCACTTCTATGGTTTATCTTACAAGGGTACAAGTGAATCTTTCTAAAAGCAGAGTATGAACGTTTTAACTCAATAACTAAGAAAATGACATGAAGGTTATGTTAACCAGTTTGATGAGAGTATTTCAAAATGTATATGAAAACAGCACACTGTACCCCATGATTGCATTAATGTACACAGTTATGCTATAAGAAATTTAAAAAAAAGAAAAAAGAAATAATAGAAATAAAAATAAAAAACTAAAAGCACCCTTAAATATTCACACTGGACTATATTTTTTCGAGTTCCTACATCTTATGCCTTAGGACCTCGCTAAGACAACACAAGTAGATTCAATTCCTAAGAAATCACATTCCATAACCAAAATGCTACAAAGTGGATTCACTGGTGTTCTGTTATTTCATTCTCACAAACTTCAGAACATGTTAATTAACCATGAATGATCAGCATGATAATAAGAT